AACATTTTACAAGGAGATAATCTGTGTGAAGTATATATTACTGATCTTGGACTTTCAAAAAAAGTAAAAGAAGGAAAAATTTGTGGAATTCTGCCGTATATAGCACCTGAAGTTTTGGTGGGTCAATCGTATACTCAAGAATCAGATATTTACAGTCTTGGAGTTATTGCGACAGAGATTTCGACTGGACAAAGAGCATTTGATGGAATTCCGTTCAATGATGATCTTGGATTAAGAATTATTGGTGGATCAAGACCTAAATGTTTAGGACCAGATTGCTATGTTAAATTAGCTATGAAATGTATGGATAAAGATTTTGAAAAAAGACCTACTGCAGCAGAAATTATTAAAATAATCGCAAGTTGGTTAAATTAAATGGATCAGGAAGATGATAATGAAATCAAAAAGCAATTTTTGGAAGCTGATAAGATTAAACAAGAGCCAATCGAACAAATACATTCACAAGACATATATGTTAGCAAATCATATGGTACGGAAATATTTTCCAAATATTTTAGCAAGCCTGTTAGTACATTAGTAACTAGATCGTGGGTATAAAGTTTTATTTTAATTGCATGTTTTTTAAAGCATTCTTTCAATTCTTAATCGTAGATTAATTTATAATGAATTAGCAGATATGAAGAATCGTTTAAATATGATAGTAAGTCAGCTAATCAAATAACATACAGATATGAAGAATCGTTTAAATATGATAGTAAGTCAGCTCATCAAACAACAAACAAATATGAAGAATCATTTAAATATGCTAGTAAGCCAGCTCATCAAACAACAGACAGATATGAAGAATCATTTAAATATGCCAGTAAGTCAGCTCATCAACCAACAAACAGTAATGATGCTTTCGACCGCATCAGATATTCTGCGCACGTTGTAACCATTAACGACGAGTTCAAGACTTGGAATAACGTAGATGGTATGGAACTAAGTAATAAATCAGAAGTTCGGAGTGACATCTCTGAGCACATATCAATATATTCAACTATTTTTCAAAGGCCTTCAGACATCGCAATTACGATTGTTCTCACTACTTAAAAAGCAGAAAGATATAATTGACCACATCTTGGATTCATATACTGTATATGCAGTGGGTCCCGATTTTCAGAATGATTTTTCCATACCTCATATTGCTTGTTGGGTTGCTAACCCTCTCACAAAATCAGTCATGGAAAAAATTTCGGATCTGTTTAATCATGAATTTGAAGTCGCATACCATTTAATGAGTAATAATGATGGAAACTCGAACAATACAACAAATGCGAATGGTGACATTAGTGGTGGGTTTTCGACAACTACTAGAAATGTGGTTGAGCATGAAGAAACCAAGGAAAATGATGGAAATAGTGATGATGGCGATGATGACGATGATAGCGAGTATTATGATGCTAATGACGGTGATGATGACGAAGATGACGAAGATGACGATGGTGACGATGATGACGACGATGGTGACGATGATGACGACGATGACGACGATGATGATGACGGGAAAATTATTATTTCATCAGAGGGTATAGTTGGATTTGAAGATAAAAAATTAATTGATACGTATAAAAAAAAATTTCAGAGTTTCAACATTACTATCAAACTCTGGGCAAACGTTAAACTTGATTCTAAAAATAATGTAAAATCAACTTTGGAATTTGAGATCGACTTAATACATTGCAATGCAACAGACTTTCTTAGCGAACAATGCCCATCTTTAAATTGCTCTATTTGCTACTATATCGATTCGTTAGATGTCTGTGTCTCTCCGATTCCAATCAATCCTGATGATACATCTACCCTAATCATCACGAAGAAAAAACATAGTCCACGTAAAGCAAATAATGATATAAGCTTTACAAAAGTTCAAGAAAAAGACGGTCGCTTACAATTAGATGTAGGTGCACCGCAAAATATCAAAGCATCCTTTAGCGGTGGTAGAAAAAAAGGCCGAAGTTTAACGGCAACAATAAAAGAATGGGCCATGTGGGATACATTTAGTGAAATTACTGGTGATAAATGGTCATATAAATTTGCTGATAGCGATATATGTGATACCATTGACAATAGGGTTAGCATTGATACGGATGTACCCTATAAGGGCCATTGGTACATCACGAATGAAGTAAAAGGATTTCGTGTGACCATCAGGCAGGTTCTTGGCAGCACTAGTAATAAAAGAAAGTTCAGATACATGAAGACACCAGAGTTGATAAAATCGAATCCCAAGCTTGTTCATCAACTCGAAATTTCTTTTATGGACATAAAAAGATTTGATTCCGACTTTAAAGAACATGTGAAAAAAAAGTTGCATAGGAGTCAGCCTATTACTATTACCCCAAAAAACAACAGCCAACCTCAGCAAGAAAATAATGAAGAGTTTATTAGTCGTAAACTATTCACATAAATTTCAGCAAAAAGACAACGAAGTTATTAATGAAATCTGTGTAGTAGAATGTTTCATAATTAGCATATTTCATATAAATAAATAGGTAATTTAAAATCGGATTTGCACCGGGTGGGTGAAAAGTCTCTATACAGGACCCTTTTTTTTAATCACTAAAATAGTAATCGTCGCAATATTTTATATAAATTGTATTTAAAATTAAATATTATAAATTTTAGCGGAGATAGTAAAAAAAGGGTCCTGTATAGAGACTTTTCACCCACCCGGTATGTTAAAGAAATGAAATGGAATTGTCCGTATAAAATAAACTTTATTTGTAATTGATAACTAGAACATGATCATGCAGGCGGCTTCGCCGCCTGTTTTAATTATTATGTATAGAGGCTAATTGTATTTTCATATTTAAATATTTTGAATAAAATGATAAAGTGTAACTTGATAGTAAAGATTCACAATTTGAATAATCTATTCAAATAACAATTTATAAATATTTATTTTCACTTATATATTTCGTAAGTGAAAATGGAATTGATACATAAATGACTTATCTATTTTAATTGGTTTAAATAAAACAAAGTTAATGAAATTGTACAAGAATTCACGAATTTAACGAATTAGAATCTTCGCAAATTAATTTATATGAATGAATACTTAATTGAGTAAAATTAATGTAAA